TAATTTTAACATTTGACGATATTGAAGAGTTTCTATAATTCTAGTCAACTTAATTTGAAGATCATCATAAATTTGAGTTAATGATTGTAATTTAATAATAAGTTTGATTTTATTATCATCTTCTTCCAAGATAAGAAGTGTATCTATTGCGGTAGTTAAATATTTTTTTCGAAATTCTCCTGATCCATAAAATGATAATCTTATCGATGCAATAATTTGATTATAAACATCTTCAATATCGTCAAATGTTAAAATTAATTCATTAACTATTTGCTGAATAAATAATTTGTGGTCTATCTCCTTATAATGAACAATATTAAAAATTTTTTCCAAAACTTGAAACTTTAAAGTTGCATCTTGAATATTCTTTGTTAATATAAAAGATTCATTTAATAGTTCATAACTTTTTTCATCATAAAATTCAGCTAACTGATATAATGCTCTCGATTTATAATAAGGATTAGACATTGATTGAATTTTTTCAAATAAAAAAGCTTTGGTGTCTGGCTGTTCAACCAATTCAGGTAGTAAAGTCTTGTAGATCTTAAATCTATCTAAGTCTTTTGACATTATTCCAAAATGTAACAATATTACTAATGGAATTAATTCAGGATTTTTATTGAAATATCCTTCCTTGAAGAACACATTAGAAATACTATCCACTAGATATGGTACATTTGTATTGATATTCTCTAAACAATCGAAAAATGCTATTGGAATATCATTTTCGTTGTTTAACTTGAAAGTAAATATATCTGTGACCCATGGATATGATCGAATCGGTCTATAAACTTGAACTGTATCATTAATGTTTAAAAATGCTTTTATAATTTCATCAGCTATTCCTGTTGCAGCAAGTTTATATGCTATGGTAGCAACATTGTATCGGAAATAATCAGAGAAACCAGTGAATTTAAAGGCAAAATATTCTGCATACAGATAGCATTTATCTTCAACATTATAGATAGCTTCAGCTAATGTTTCAGTATCGACTGGTAATCCTCCACTATTAACTATGAACGATAAATATATTTTGCAATAATCTGAAAAACTAAGATTGTATTTCAACCGATTGATGTTCATGTTATTATAAATTCTAAGTAAATATTTTTCTATATATGAAGACCATCTTGCGATTGGATCTTTTAAAATAGAAATTAATTGTTGTATTCTGTTTTCCAAGATTTTTATCATAGTTTCTTCACCTTCGTCTATAATCCTTTTTATAAAATCGTAATTTCCTAGGGCTACTAACGCAATTAATACTTCCGTTTTTTCGCTTGTGCTTAAGTTATGATTGCTTATTTCTTTTTGCAATTGCTCTATTAAACTATCAGCAGGTTTTTCTTGTGAGAGTAAATTGAGTATTTGACTTGTCAGAAATGATTCTTTGTAGATGTCATTTTTGTCAAATATTGGCTTCTTTTCCCATCGTTCGTTAGGTACCTCTGTATCAAGATAGGCAGCCATTCTATAAGCTGGATTATCTCTACCCCAAACTTCTTGATAATAAAAGATAAATGGAGTCCGTTCATTGTCACTTAACTGAAGAAATTGAGAAATTTCATAATATTCAGATATAGTTGTTGGAGTATTATAATTTTTATATCCTCCATAAAGAGCTGTAATTAAACATAACCAATCATTGCTCTTTACAATATGTTCGATCATTTCTGGATGTTTACTTAGTGTATCTTTGAATTTCAATTGTGTTAAAATAGCATCATCTTTAATTTTACTTGAATAAAATCTTAAAAGTGAATCTATTGGCCAATTCCAATTATTAGAATCATTGTGTAAATTTTTTAAAAATATTTCATGAAATATTGGATTATACCACTTAAGTTTATAGATGATGTTGGCACATGCAGCAATATTTTGTTCATGATTTATTTTTTCCATAAACCAATCTGCCATTATATTATCATATTTTATTTTCAATTTCAAGAAATATGAATGAATTAGTTCTTGATGTTCTTTTAATCTTGAAAAACCAGATATATTTTTATAGTCAAATAAAAGCATATCTGCTAGTTTTCGAATCAATGCATATTCTGTTTCTTTTGATAAAAACGACATATCATTTAATGAATCAATAAGAACAAAAGGCATTAGAATTGTAGAAGATTGTGTATTAGATGAAACTTGTTCAGCTTTTAACAATCTTGTAACAATATTATTAAATATTCCATTATTCTGAACAGAGTTACTTAATATTCCAAATGTCATACTTAGAGGAACTCTCCAATTAGGAATATCAATTTTATTTTTGATATTTTCATAAATCATATCTTCCGATCGTTGTTTTCCATAAGAATAGATAATACTTTTAGCTGCAAGATATTCTTGAAATGTACGATGTATAAATCGAAAACTATTATGACCAAATTCATTGAGTAAACCTGCTTGATATTTAAAAATATTCACAAGTTTTGAAATTAAATCATCAATTTTTATTTTTTGATTCTTCAATGATTGATTTTGATAATCTATTAAACATACTCTTATTATCTCTTTTAAAATATTCTCTGATAATCCTTCAGTTTTACTATGTAAATATTCAGCTATTTCTTGCATTATTGACCATAGTATGATGCTATTTAATCCAAACTCTTGACTTACATAATGTGTTGAAGAATTAATATCAGATGTGATTAATCGTTCTATCATTTGTCCAATAGCTATTTCATATAAATCAATTCTTTTCTCTGGTAATCTATCTTCATATTGCCAATAAACTGTAACAATTACACTAGCTAATTGTGGATTAATGGCTAATTGAAAAATATCTTTATTTTTCGTAATATTCTTATATAATTGATTAGATTTGTTTTTTTTGACATGTTTTCCTACCTTCATGGAAATATTTTCAATACATTTCATATATGAACGGCAAAATAATTTGAGAGCATCATTAGACATATCTTCAATAGTTAATCTTGGTATATAAAAATTAATTTCTTCAAAATAATTTCCTTCAATTCGACTTGTTACAATAAAACGATTTCCAATATTTGGATCTTTAGTATTATTTATTTCCTTTTGTTCATAAACTGAATAAGTAAGTTTATAACATTTTACATCATAATCAATTCCTCGTTCTAATAATGTATTAATTTCTTTCATTAAATCAGATCTATCTATGTGAGCAGGAACTTCATCTAATCCTTCAAAAATAACTAAAACATTTCCTTGTACTAATGATTCCATAATGAAAAATGATAATAGTTTTCGATCTTCATTATCGAAAAATGTTGAATCAAGCGTAACATGTTGATATATAAATTCAAGCAAAGTTATTTTTTGCTTATGCTGATATTCTTTTAATTGATCAACATATTTCCATATTGGAATAAGAATTGGTATTTTTTCTTTTAAATCACAAGTATTATCAAATAACATGTTTCTCTCACCTAAGCATTGTTTAGCCATGTTCATTACTAACCATTTTGATAAAGTCGTTTTGCCTGAACCAGGATGACCAAGAATTACAAAATGTCTAAATTTATTGTATGCTTGTTGAATTTGATATTGTTTTGCTTCATTCAAACAATTTTTTGTCAATATACTTTGTTTCAGTCGGTTCACCTTATTTTTAATAGCAGTTGCTTCATTTTCAGTAAATATGTCTTTGTTACTTAACAAAACATTTAACCATTGATCTACCATGAAATCTTGATATATTGTTTCTGGATTAGATGTACTTCGTTCCATAATAGCTCTATTCAGTTTTCTCACTTCATTTGTATCAAAAAAGCCCTGAGATAAAAATTTACGCTTAAATTCTTCATTAAGTTCAAGTGTTTTCATCGCTTTAATCGATGGATGTGTTGGATCAAATTTTAATTCGACATAAACACTTTGCAGTGGTAAACTAATATTACTATTAGAATTTCCAAGTATTGATATATGTCCATATTCCTTAATAAGATAATTCAAATATTTTTTGCGAATCATTTCTTTTTCGTCTGTAAATGATAAATGTTCACGTATTAATGATGTAAATGATTTGAGATTTTTTATAAATTGTAATAAGTCTTCTGAAGTATTGCCATATTGAAGTTCTTTTATATTGTCAAAAAATGAAGTATTTGATATTTGATGAAATCGTTTATGCGTATTCGATGAAATAATTCTATAAATTGACAAAGATTTTTCACTTGTCACGCAAGATATCCATTTTAATAAATTCAATAATTTAGGATCAAACATCTCGCTATCGTATCCAATGAATAATAAGGCTTTTTTGTGCAGAAATGCTTTCAAGTTTGATTGTCCGAATTCGTTTTTACAAAATCGATTATAAGCATCACTAGTGAAAATCATACTGTCCGGTTCTTGAAAATATCCATGTATATGTAGTATATAATGTTTCAAATTTTCCAATGAATGTTTGAATCCATCATTATAATAGTTTTTCCAAGTTAATGGTCTTTTATCTAGCACATTCTCTAGAAGCGAATCATAATTAGTTGTTAAAATTGGAATGCCTAGTTCTCCTATTGCTTTGATAAGTTCCGGTTTTTTTGCTGATAGTTTTCCTACTGTTTCCATTAACCATATTTTGTAAACATTATCTTTTCTAGTTTCATTTTGCCTTTTGAAACAATATTTAATTCGATCAGCTGCATGTAAAAAATCATTAACCTCCACTGTGTTATTCTTGAATTTGTTATTGAAATCTTCAAACTCTTTGTCATTAATACATCCTGATTGATAACATCGTTGAAGTCCATGTTTTAATAATCCATTCCAATGAGAAACTTCTTGTTCACCGTTGGTTGTGTACACAGATACACCTGCACCAATAAATATTACTGCATTATTTAAGGCTATGTCATTTTTTACTTTTTGAATTTCGTCAGCCATTCATTCAGTTTTATGATCCGAAACTTATCATGTATCTGAAAAATACAATGCTAAAGCAAATATTATAGCCGAGTTATATAATAGAAATGATCGTTGATAGGCGTTGAGAGTGTAGGTTGGAACTCGCATCCAATGACTAGTTTGTTGATAAATACGATCTTTATGAAATATTAAATGAATCATCAAGATGGTATTATTAAAGAAAACAATGGATAAAAACAATAATTACCTAACTATTGGCTACGCGTTTCTATTCTCTTGACACATGAAGCTCTTACAATACAGAATTCGTTACAAGAAACACAGGAATAAAATAAAAAGCTTTGACAAAGGAAACGAACAAATGTTTTATTTTTTCCAACACTCACTTCTGTTTGATTGCTTTTACGCAAAAATTACATCATACATCAAATAAAAAGTCGAACATGACTGACTGTTCTCTTTCTCTGAACAGAGTATAATATTTTTTTCTTTCTTTCTCGGTGTTTTTATGTTTAAAGAATTGGTTTTTTCCAAGTACAAAAAGAATGTTTGTGACACTCTGAAAACTTCTCATTTTGCAGCCTATATTTGAATGAAAAAGTGCAAATTATTTGTTGATTTATGCGCCACAGCTTCCGAACACAATTTTTGTGTGCGTCTTGATGAATAAGTTAGCATGTAGAGGGTGTGGGTGGGTGTGGATGTGGGTAGGTGTCGGTGTAGATTTTATTCTTCTCTTCATTCATACCCACACCCACACCACACCTACATTCTCAAGATATGTTTTCTCTTTCTTCTCGTATATGTGCAGGATGATAAGTTGCATGCCAATGATCAATCACTTCCTTATTATATACTTGCTTCTTTCTCATTCTGCCCATCACTTTCAGTTGCAATGCAGCAGTACAAACTGATTCATTCGATCATCAGTGCGAAAATTCTAGTGTGTTCTAAGCCAAGTGTATATATATTGCTCACCACTAGAGGTGTAAGCCGCCGGTCTAAGCCGCCGCCGCCGCCGCCAATTTTTTTGAAAAGTAAGCCGCCGCCGCCACGGAATCGTAGATAATTTTAAGAATTTTTTAGGAGCCGCCGCTGTGAAAAAGTAAGTGCAGCCGGTGCGCCGCCGTCACGAACGAAA